TTTACAAGTTTCCTACAGCTGCTAGATGTATGAAAATTAAAAAATTAGAATATTTAGTAATGTATGAAATTCTTCAAAGTATAAATCAGACACTTTAAGTAAAGAACACAACAATGAGCTAAAATGCTGTGTAGCAACAAACACCACACACAGGGAGGCTGAGGAGATCAGGGATGATGAGGACTGTCCACCAGGAACAGCACGTTCAGACATACAGTTGTGGCAATCCTTGAGCACAGCCTGAACGTCCTCTGCATCATTCCCACTAACCCCAGCCTGCATCTGAAATCTCAAGGACTATACCATCCTGGGCCCCTCTACACACCCCTTCTATTTTATTGAGCAAAAATAGATTTCCTTATACTTTCCAACTTAAGACCACAAAGAACACAATTCCTCACCAATATGGCAGCACTTCAAGTATTTGAAAACGTCTATTATATCCCCTAGTCTTCTCTTTCCCAGGGTAAGTATTCCCAGTTCATTCAAATATTGTAGTTCTCTGTCTCTCTCTCCTGAACATGCACTAGACCACTCTTAAATAGAGCGGACAGGACTGATCCGGTCAGCATGGAAGAACTTGATTCATTGTTACGTAGCTGAAAACTAAATGTGGGCAGGGGGTGGGTTGGTTAGTATTTTGGGCAATCACATCTTTATTATGGAATCATTGAGCCGACAGTTCACTAAAATTCTGCCTTTTCTCATGTTTTCTGCTACCAGTGAAATCTTTCCTATCTCGCGTGTAATTGACTTTTCCAGATGCATGTGCAGAATCTTATTTTATCAAAATACATCTCACCTCATACTTTGAAAGAAGTAAGTCCCAGAAGGAAGACGTGGGTCTTAATGTCGGGTCAGTCATGAGGTGTGTTTTGTTGAGTACTACAGGAACCCACCTGAGGGGAGTAACTGGGAGAATCAGGGAAGGACCCACTGAGGTGGCGGATTAGGCTTGAGGGGTAAACGTTTTCACTCAATCATATTTACGGGTTACCTACTATGTGGTGGACACTGGAGATACAGCAGAAAAGACCCAAATCCCTGCCCATAGGGAGCTTACATTCTAGAGGTGAGGACAGTGAATAAGAATTAAAATGTATAGTATTTTTTTTATTGTGATAAGAGCTGAAGAGAAAAAAACAGCAGCCAAAGGGAATAGGTCATGTCGGGAGTTGGAGAAAGGGCTGCAATTTTATACAGATAACCAGAGAAAGCCTCTCCTCAAAAGGTGACATTTGAGTAGGTACAGATTAAAAAAATCCGAAGAGAAAACCCGTTGCTGCGGAGTCGATTCTGACTCAAAGCTACCCTACAGGACAGAGTAGGACTGCTCCATAGGGTTTCCAAGGAGCGGCTGTTGGATTTGAACTGCCATCTTTTGGTTAGCAGCCAAACTCTTAACCACTGCGCCACCTACCATAAAATGTGATAAAGCTGCAATACTATAGACACCTAAGATAATAAGACTGAGATATAACTGTTAAATAAGGAAAATTTTAAAATAAGGTAGTAATGACGAAGAATTTAGAATCCTTATTATTAAAATTTCCAGTAGACTTTATGGAGAAAGAGACTTGGAAATCCCTTACTACACAAGTGAGGCTACACAGACCTGTCAAGGTTAAATTGATCCTGAAGTCGCAATTCCATATATATATATGTATATAAGCCCTGGTGGTGCAATGGTTAAGAGCTCGGCTGCTCACCGGAAGGTCAATGGTTCCAACCCACCAGCAGCTCTGTAGTAGAAAAGACCTCGATCTGTGATTACAGCCTAGGAAACC